TTTACATAAAAAGATCAATCTTTAATTATTTTTTCCTAATTTTACTGGTTCACAATTTTTAGATAAATAAATATTTTAAAAATTTATACGAGAGAAAAAGTATTTTTAAAGATGATGCATTTAATAAAAAAATAATAATTTTCTTAAACAAAATCAATAATTTAATTACTCTGTTTTAATTTCAATGAATTAGTTAGAAATACATTATAAATAAGATTAGAGTAAAGAATCACATTGAATATTAAGATAAATTTTTTCAAACAAAATCCATGAGGTGCATGTAAAGAACTGGTTATAATTGTGGAATAAGGAGCTCCAAGTCACACCAACGCATTTTAAATATAAGGCAAATTTAAAAAAAAAAACTCATTCTTAATTTAAAGTAAAGTTGGAACAATTAATATTTTATATTGTTTATTTGTTTATTATAATTTAAATCTTTAGACAATAATTTATTATGATTATTAATTATAAAAAATAAAATTGAACATGTCAATTTTTTAATAATTTTAAAAATATAATTATTATTTTTTATGATAATAAAATTTGTTAAATTTGCCTCTTAAGAGCATAGATAGAAAATATAAATGAAATTGCACAAACGAATGGCCACGTGGGGCAACGTGAATGGCATTCTGGCATGACACAAATCATTGAAGCGCAGATCCAATAGAAGGTAGCCAACTCAGAGGCTTTTCAACCGACAGCAGGGCGAGGAAATGACTGTAAGGCCCAACAAGAAATAATGATCACCTCGTGGCAGCAAAAGCAATTGGAGGCAACAATAATGAACAGGAGAAAAAAGAGACGCGAGTCCACGAAACATTGTCCCTATATTAATAACCCCCTCGTCCAACCGAAACTCAAGACTAGCCCCAGCACCGATCATGAATTGTCTCCGTTCGTGGGTCCACCACTTGTTCGCCATTATGTTTAGGGAAAATTTTAGCGAGGGACACTTAATTAAATATAATAAAAAAAATCATTGACTTTCTGAATTGTCACTTGAGGGAGCAATACGAATTTTCATTTAAATTTATGATAAAAATAATAAAATTATTCTCATTTAAATAATAGTAGAAATAATTTTTTCATTCTCATACTATATATTATTTATTTATTTATAAAATATTATTTATTTTTTTACTTTATTTATTTATAACTCTAGTTTCACTTAATTTTATTTTAAGTATTGGTTTCATGATAAGATAACATATTCGTTCCCATACTGAATATCGTTTATTTACTTATCGAATGTTGTTCATTTATCTACTTTACTTGTTTATAGTCTAGAAATAAAATCGAAGTAAAAATAAGACTATAAACAAGTAAAATAAGAAAACGAATAATATTTTGTAAGTAAATAGACAATATACAGTATAGAAGCAAATAAATCATTTATATTATTCATTTAAATGCAGGCAATTTTATTATTTCCATCACAAATTCAAATAAAAATTTGTATGAGTCCTTCAATAAAATTTTAAAAATTTAGGGATTCTTTTTTTTATTATGTTTGCTTAAGGGTCCCCTATTACAATTTTCTCTTATGTTTAAGTTTTTCTTACTAGAAGGATGACATCCAAATACCTCATAAAAAAGTTATATTTAAAAATAAATATCAATAACATCAGGTTTTTGGATAAAATTCTCTCTGGGTTTTTCCCCCCTTGATTACTCATTTCCTTGCTTTTTTGCTAAGCCACTGAAAGTAAAAGAGAGATGAGAGGCTGAGTCGCAGATCCATCAAATCATGTTGGATTGGAATGGGGTTGGAAAGCTAGAGAATGGATTCTTCTTCCATGCCTTTGTCGCTCCCAGCTTTTCCAAAAAATATGAGCCCCACTGGCTACTGCTTTTTACATGCAAATGTTAAATATAGCAATATTATCAGAATTCATAATATATACTGTCCCTACACAACTTTAAAATTTTCTAAATAATTACCCCCTTCACTCTTAGATGCAAATTATGAAAAACTCCCTTTCTATTTTAAATTATAAAATATTTTTAAAAAAATTGACATTTCAAAATATAAGATAATGTAAGAAGATTAATATTTTATTAAATATACTTCCTTTAATATTTCTCCCTTCTAATACTAACTAATCAAATCTATAGTGTGATGACTAATACACAGAGGAGTGAATTCCACGTGTTTAAAATCTCCACCTTCATACCAACCAAACTTCGCTCAGTGTCCCTAAGCCAGAACGAGATTAGAAATATCAGAGGAATAGTGCAGCATCTTTAAGAGATGAAGATGAAGGTATCATCAATGAAAAGGAAATCCAGAAAAGTGAAGGAGCGGCCATGTCATGAGTATTATTTTGGGTCGTTGCCAATTTTGCAGATGAAACCACTTTTGCAAAAGCGGTTTAGTGGACAAGTGACGGCCGTTTAGCAGAGATGATGAAAATGCATCCGATCCGTCTAATCAGCGATTAAACTAATATTCTAAAATGCACAAAGACAAGCTAAAAACCAAATCCATCATCAAATCAATTAAAATATTAATTTAAAAATCAATAGTTAAAATTATTATTCAATTACAATTAAATTAATCATAAATAAAATATTTTATTAAATTAATTAAGACATAGGTTTAATAATTTACCAATCTACCAAACATGTTAACCCAAATTTCTATAAAGTGTAATAATAGGAAGAGGGGTGAAGAAAACCTTTTTTTTTTTTTTTAGTATAGGGCCACAACGCGGCAGTGCAAAAAAGACAAATATAAAATAATATATAAAATTATTATTTTTTCATGTGAGGATTATCAAAAATATTAATATTAAAATTATCCTAAAATGACTGGTGGACAAGCAGGTCAATATATTTGTTAACTTCTCTATACACATAATTGAAAGTGATCATCCAATCTTTCATAATGAAATATCTAATTTTTTTAATAATTTCAAAAAGTGAATGTCTTTTAAAATAATTATACTTGATGAATGATAAAACTTTTGTTAAATCAGAGTAAATCAAAGTCATGTAAGCCTCAAGGCCAATGAGACTATCGTCTTAGGCCTCAAAAAAAAAAAAATGCATGCATATGTGTTATTTGTATTATTATACATTTCATTATAAATCAAAAAAATGAAAAGTATTAATTGATTTTTTAATTGAAAAAAACTTCAATCATTTTCAATATGATTTTAATTACTGGGCTAAGCCCATTATTTACTTGAAAAAAACAATGAATTTATTATATACTAATTTACACTGTATCGCTATGCTCTAATTTTTTTTTTTACACTCTCACTTTTAATTTAACTTTTTATCTCTCTCTATTAATATTTGATAATGAATATTTTTTTGCATTTGAAAGGAACAACTATACATGCTAGGCTTTGCTAAAATTTTTGTCTTAGGCCTCTAAATTTCTTCACACTGCCCTGGAGTAGATATTAAATTAAAATTGGAACTTTCGAAAATTCTCATGAACTCAGCTACCTTACTGGGTGAAGGCAAACTTTAATTAACGAAACGAGCCGGGAAGGTGGAGAGGGGACGAAAGAGTGGGAATGAGATCTCTAATTTTATTATTCCGTCTTTGCCCTCATCATATCTTCATTTGGCAGACAAACGAGATTTTCTCCTCTTCCTAGAACACAACCCACACTTCCCCTCCCCCGTTCATGCTTTCCATTCCCTTGGAAACACAAATCATAAGCATATTTGGTTAAAAATATCAGCTCAAGGTGAGGCTCTAGCTAGCTAAACATGTGGTTGGATATTCTAATATCAAGTTTGGTGCTTATAATAATCTAGTTGAAAGGAGTTTACTTTCTACTTTCAGTACTTTAGCAAAGATTAGATTTTAAGTACACTCCTTATACTTAAAAAAATGTTAAAATTAGTCAAGAATTTTAAATTTGTAAAAAATTTCATCAATTTTTCAAAATTATTTATTAATTTTATTATTTTTTTACCCTTTTCTTCACATTCCATTATTGTTTTTTTCCTTTCTACTTTAATTAAGGGAGAGGGTAAACTTTGCAAATAACAAAAAACAAAAGCTTCTTCGATAAACTAAAATACCTTACATAAAAGCCTATAAAACGCTTTTAGACACTTTCATACATGATCAAAGGGTATAAATTATTGTAGATTTTATTTATTTTATAAAATGACGACATATTGATTCTGTTCAACTGCCCGAGCAGGTGCACGTTCTTGCTTATGATAAATGTTTTAGTGTATTTGGTTCCCTGTTGCCACCTCCAAACCTACGACCTCAATTTGAAAATAATTATTTGTTATTTTTCATAAAACAAATTCTAGATATTTCGGGCCAATTAATCCTAAATATGTTTCACAAACAGGCACCGCAATATTTTCTTTCGAACGTTGAGTATAATATACGCGTATGATGCATATGGCCGTATGGCGTGTTCTAGTTTTCTAGTTTCTTGGTCACGGATGCATCCGAATAGAGAAACCATTATTTAAAGGATGTATGCGTATTTGTTCCGTGATATGAACAGAACATGGCCTTATAATTTATTTTCAGACCAATGATACGACACTACAGAGGACCCATGCAGGCCACATGTTCCATTTCATGTTGAATTGGCAAATCAGAGTAAAATTGAAATTTCCCATGCATGTGCTCACCTCGATCTCAGCTAGCCCTCAAGACGGACATCAATTTATATGAAAGAATCACGTCACCTTACAGACCAAAACGACCAGGTTTTTTGCCCATATTCCACTAATCCACTGTGAGTTTGAAATATAAAGAGCTATATGGATTCTCATCCCTCACCCACCCACCCTAACACGTTACATTATGGAACCATCTTTTCCTTCAAATTTTCCTTCTTCTATTGACATCATATCGCCTTCCCTTTCGTGCATGCATTTAGTATGAATCCCCTTCATTGTCCTTTTTCATTCACAACCCAACTTCCCTTTTACAACACACTTTCCTTTTTCACTATCCAGCCAAACCACATTCATGTCTCTAATTAATTCTTTAATCACAACAATAACCCCCACAAACTTCATATTTAAATCAAGTAATAATAAATACAACCTATCCCAAATCACAAAGTCCCTGTGATCTACTTTATGCCACATGACTATGAGATAAAAATGATGCGGCTTCTAATTCTTCCTTCACATTGCATAGTAATAGTAACACCCACATCTCAAAACTCTGTACTGTTGTCCATCGTATGCCCGATCAACCAGAAAAGCACCCTAGCTAGCTGCTAATTAACAACCTATACCACTAAGACCAGAAAGAAACTAAAGCTGATAAAACAGAAAAGAAAACGAAGCAAGTTAATAAATATCTCAGACTGTGCGTTTCCGTCCCTGGATTTTGAGAGTGCAGTTGTACATGAGATGATGATCATGGAGGAGGGTCGTACTCGGGAAGATCAGGCCACTGGTGATTTGGGATCAAAGAAAATGACCCGCCAACTGCATCATTATGACTCTGAGAATTTCCACTAGCGGAAGCGGTGCTCATGGTGGTGCTCCACAGAGAGGCATCGGATCCCCTCTGGTTAACGTTATTATTGATGAAGCTTTCAGTCCAATCATGGTGAGAAGAAGCAGAACCGCTGTTGACCGTGGTTGATTGAATTAAAACTTGGTCTGCTTCATACAGGGAATCTTCCTCCTTTTCTCTTAGAACACCCATCTGATAAAATGGTTGCGATGGACGAACTGATGAGCCCAGAGAAGGAACACCGAACCCAGAAAGAAGACTCAGATTAGAACAAGACCCCAACTGATTGAAGGGCTGCGACGGATTCAAGGATCGAATCGACGCCAGAGAAGACAAATACCCACCATCATCACCACATGCACCGCCTTGATAAAAGGGGCCGATTGATGAAGCCGCCGCCTCCGTAGCAGGAGGAGCAGCAGAACTCACGGCATAAGGGTCTTTTTGAACCTCCGTCTCTCGCGGCAGCTGCGACGACGGGGCAGAACCGGTATCGGTGGAAGACGAGGAAGAAGCCGAGGCTTTGGTGCGCTTGGGCTTGCGGCAGCCACCACCGACGCGGACGTTCCTCAAGGTTCCGCCTTGAGTCCAGTACCTTCGACACGCCTTGCAAAAGTAACGAGGCTGCGAGAGGCTATAGTTGTTGTAGTAGCAGAACTTGGTGTTAAGAGAATCGCACCGAGGACATTTCTGGGGTTGCTGAGGCTGAGGCTTACTGTTCATTTCTCCTCCGCCTCCTCCTCGCCGTTGCACACGCAGAGATACAATCAATATAAAAAGAAAATATCTATCTGTGATCACCCCACTCTGTTTTGCCAAGGCAAAGAGCGGAGAGAATAATTTGAATGTATGTTTCTTGTAGGGGTGGCTGGTTGTGTAATTATGAAGGAAGAAAACGATTGGATGGGGTGGGGTGTGGATGGAACGCGCATGCAAGGTGTATCGGAGTTCAAAGGTGCTGTGAGAGCAGCTCTACGTGTCTGGGTAATGTCTAAAGAGAATCCATATCCACATCAAAGCCAAAACCACGGGCGATCATTATCTTTGTCCAGGTTTTCGCACCAACCTACAATCGACAAAGCCAACTTCTCTCAAATTATTAAAAAACCAAAAAGAGAGACAGAATATACTCACAAATCGTAGCTCGACATGTACTAACACAACACAAGCATTCATGAGAAACGCAAACAAAAAAACGATTAGTGATTTTAAGAGGTGGGGCTAAGAAGAAGATTGGTGAGTGTTACCAAAAATTTGGGAGCGATGATGGAGGAGGATAGAGAGGTGGGACGTGTACAAAGGGACAAGAAGGAAGGGTTAAAGGTTGGAGAAGTGATGTGGCAGGAATTGTTGTGAAGAACTGAAAAGCGGTGAGTGGTTGAGGTACGATAAAGCAAGAAGAAGAGGGCACGGCAGAATCAGCACCTGAAAGCTCAGAGGCGATATTTCTCAATGAGAGAGACGATGGTGCAGGAGAGAAGAGAAATAGATGAAGAGGAGGGTTCTGTTTCTGTAGATGAAGGACCACCCTCCGGGGTTGCGCTGAGGCGACGACACAGTAGAAGGCGGTGTGATGGCGAGTGAAATGGACAATTCTCTTTCCTGTTTCTCTGTGTCTCTCGCAGACACTTTGTCCCTCTCCGCCCTTTTATTCCGTCAATTTCACTGCAGTTTCTTCAGCGTTCCATTAAACTTTCTGACATCATTCTGTATGGGATAGCTCCTACGCCAATTTTTCACCTACGCTACGCTATATGTTCCTGCAACATTTACATTTTCTGGCCCATATTTTGTTATAAACCTTCTAAAACATTCTTCAAATCTAAATTCATCTACTATCAAACTCATAAATTATTAAATCATACCATAGTTAAAGGAAACTATTCTGCAATGCAAAAAAGGTGAAAGAAGCTGAAATCTTAACACAAAATTTCAGGCTTTTAATTTATCCTAGTCTTTTCACTTTATAGTGTATTATTGATTAAAGTATATATAAAATTTTAATTTTATAAAATATTTTTTAAGTCTTCTAACATTAAGATTATTAATTTTAAATAATTATTTTATATATTGATTATTGTTATTTAAAAAAGTTAAACTTAATATTTTAACATTTAAAAATATTTTTGACAATATTTAAAAGTTTAATATAAAATTTTTTATAATAAAATTAACTAGAGCTGTGTAAAAGTCTAATTGTCCTGTCCAACCCAAACAAATTTGGTTTAGTCCCAATCCAATAAAAAAATTGGTCCAAAGGACTAAAAAAAAATTAGACTAACTTCTCAAGTTGGATTGGACATAAAACCAAACTCTCAAACCACTTGATTCGGTCTTGTCTTATAAAATTATTTTAATATAATTTTAATTATTTTTAATATATCTAAATAGTTTGAAGTTTGAACTCAACATTTTCTTTATTCACATTTCACCCTTCTATTTAATAAAATTTTAATTTTGTTTGCTGCCAAAATTATTGTTATAATGTATATCTGACATATTGTTGAAGTTTGTTACATGTTATTGTTGCTGTTGTTGAAGTTATAAATTTGAATAATTTACATTGTAATTGAAATATTTTGTTGTTATTCTTATAGGATGAATTTTTTTATGATTATAAATATTTTTATTATTTTAATTAAAATTTTTACGATGAAATGAATTATCACTTCTTATACAGGAAAAAAGAAAAAAAGATAAGTGAGTACTGGACTATCGAAACTAGTTTTCTAGTCCCATGAATCAAGTTTAATCTTGTTAATTTTTAGATTATAACTAGATTAAACCAGATTATGGGTTGGCTAATCCACAATCTTTTTCATGAAAGAGACTAGACTTTAAGTTAGATTAAAGTTTAATCTTGTTTGGTCCTTTATGCAACTCTAAAATTAATAATGTTATGGTTAAAAGACGTGAAGACATTTTATAAATTAAGAGATCAAAATAAAATTTTATATAAAATTAATTAACTAAATGTATATTTTAACCTCTATTATTTCCTCCCTCTTAATTTATAATTTTTTTGACAAAATTATATATATTTATTAAGATCATTAAACATAATTTAAAATCTTAATTTTTTATAAATTTTCACAAATGTAGTTCATTAATGAATTTTTTTTTGCATATTATATTTCGAGACATCAAATCAACTCTAAAAATATTTTATAAAATGGAACAAAAGCAATACTTATTCAATTTAATTTTATTTAATGTGAGACTGCCTACATTATCTAAGGTTTACTCACACATTCTAATTATCATTTTAAAAACTAGGTTGAACTAAAGGGTCGGACCAATTCAATCGTTGACCAAAGCAGTTAATGACTCGATTTGAACTAAAAAATCTTTTTCAAAATTGAGTCGGATTTTATCAAAGTTGGGCCACTATTAAGTTAAAAAAATAAAGTTAAATTGGGAGTTGATTCAATTTTTAGAAAAACCGAACAATTTTAAATATAATATTAAAAAAACTTAAAAAATTTTAAAAATAAAAAAATTTAAAAATTAAATCTTTATTAAAAGTTAACTTTATTTTTAAATAATTTAAATATATAAAATATTTTTAATACTATTTTTTATAAGATATTAACCGTTATAGTAATAAATATAAATACTTTTAAAGTCTATTCATATTCAACTTAATTAAAATTTATTTATATTTAATAAGTTATAAAATTATATTTTATTATAGTGTTAATGTACGATCATAACTAAGTATATTATATATTCGTATTTTATATTTATTATATATATTTAATATTATTTTTATTTAATTATTATATTATTAATCTAACTGTCGGTCTAATCAGTCTACAAAAGCTAAAAAGTGCTGACTTTTTCGGTTCCCCTTTCAAAGCATGGATGCTAATGATCTCTCGTCAATTAAAGTGAAAAAACCGAGTCGACTCGGACTTTAGAGCCACACCCTTTACGAGCTGGGCTTAAAAAGTACGATCACCCAAAAACCCCAATGTTTACAAGGACTGGCCATTGAGCATGGTATTTTTTTTTTAAAACATTTTTATTCTTCTTTTTCATATTTAAAATATTTCTATTTTTGTTTAATAAATATGAATAAATTTTAGAAAAACATAACCTTAAATTTATATACTTTACTCTATATTTTTTCAGTATTTTTGATCATTATATTTTTGTTTTTTATTATTTCAGGTCCTTTCATGAACAAAGTGTAAGGACTTTGAAAAAAATTTAAAATAATAAAAAAAATATAAAGATAAAAAACATACCCTCCATTTAAATGGGAGTCAGTTTATTTTTTCAACTCTACTCCTCAAGTTTATAGTATTACTCATTCTGTTTAAAAATATAAGACATTTTTAATCGAATCTTACTCCATAATAAAATAGTTACCTACTTTTCAACTAATCATATCTTTTCATATTTACTCATATTAAACATCTTACAATAAATATAAAGTCATGATTAATAGGGACATTTTTGAAAAAAAGATAATAGTTACACATTGAAGCACTAAAAATATCTTATATTTTTTAATATCTAACTTCTCAAAAAATACCTTATGTTTTTTAACTAAGCGAGTATTTATTAATTTTTTTATTATTTGCCTTTAGTAAGAATGATAGTTAAGTCTCAAAAGAGGAAATTAATAACAATTAAGTCTTTAATAGTTTTTTTTTTGAAAAATTAGTTATAAATATCAATTCAAATAGTTGTAAATTTGAAAGTTTTAATTACAAATATGATATTTAAAATTTAAATAAAAAATTAATTTATAATTTAAATTTCTATTTATAATTATTTAAGTTATTATTTACAATTTATTTTACAAAAAATTTTATAGAAGACTTAATTGTTATTAATTAATCTTTTTGGGTCTTTATTGGCATTCTCGGTATGAAACTTTAGGAGTAAATTTAAAAATATGACCAACATTTTAATATATTGATTATATATTTTTAATTTGTGAAAATATTTTAAAAGACATATATTTTCAAACTGGATGGAAAGTGTTTTAGATTTAAACACATTAGGTCCCAATTAATATATATATATATATAAAAAGAGAGAGACGAATCATAGTATTTTTTTTATTTGTGAATAATATCAACCTGTTATAAAATAGGGGAAAAATCATTACAGGACCTCTGAAGCAAGTTCAGCAAAAAAGGATAAACAAAACTGAATTTTCGCTGCAAGAATGGGGACTAAAATGTAAATAAATATGAATGTTAATTGATTACAATACCTTTATTTTTTTTTTAAAAAAGTCAGCCAACCCAACAGCACCAATGCCAACCCTCACAATATCTAAGAGTCGTTTGAATTTTAATTGAATGTTATTGATTTTAAATTTTAATTAATTATATTATAATATAATTTATTTAAATATTGTTTTTCTACAATTAATTTTAATAGAATTAGAGATGTTTGGATAATTAAATAAGAGTCAATTTTTACTGTACAAATTACCATAAAGAATCAATTTTTACTGTACAAATTATCATAAAGAATATTGCTTTTTAAAATTAAATTATTGATAAATTTATATATAATATTATTAAATTTGTTAAATTTTATTTAAGAAGTAAAATATATTATTTAAATTATATATCTAATTAATTATAAAATTTTAAATTATATTAATATTGTAACAGTAGAATTATATCAAAAATCAATTTTTGATCCTGGAAAGCTGCCTAATCGATTATTTAAAAATATTGATGGTTGGATAACTTTAACTAAACAATTAATTTTAGCCCAAAAAATCAATTTTATGTCTTATCCAAATAGGCAGTAAAAAACTTGGTGGCTATCAAGAAGACACACGCATGCACACATGTAAGAAACAAAAAATTGCTAAACTACTTCTAAGTTTTATCATAACGATAACTTGTTAAAACATGAACGATAATTATTATTTTATAAATATTATTTGTTAATCTGACATAGTTAATTATAAAGTTAAGGTTTAAAAATTCATATATTTTATAATTTTTTAATTATAAATTGACACTTAAGTTTCATTAAAACGTTGTGTTCATAATTTAGTTTTCAAATTACTTGTTTGTTATGACTAATAGTAACTCATTAATTCCTAAATGTCACTTATTATTTTCATAATATTACTTATTAATCAAATATAGTCTATTAAAAACTGGGGGTTAAAAAGCTCATGTATTTTAAAAGTTCTTAATTGTAAATTGACATTTGAGTGTCATTAAAATAACATATTCATATAAGTAATACATTTACCTTCCAAGCTACTTGCTTGTTATAACATAATTGTGATTTATTAATTTTTAAATAACATTTATTATTTTATTAATATTACTTGTTAGTTTGACATAGTTAATTATAAATTGATAGCTTTAAAAATTAATTTTCATTTAAACTAAATTCATGTATTTTAAATGTCAATTCACATATAAAAACTTGAAAAATAAATGAATTTTTAAAATCTTAATTTATAATTGACTATGTTAAACTAACAAGTAATATTAATAAAATAATTAATATCATTAAAAAACTAATAAGTTATCATTATGTTATAACCTGTAAGGAGTTTAGAAATTTGGGTGGTCCAATATATATTTTTTCTTATTAGATTAAAAGGGCTTGGTACATGGTCAAGGGGCGTTGAGATTAATCTCCCTTGGCCCACCGTTACTAATTATTCAATAAAATTATTATTGGTAT